TTTTTGAAGCAATAGATTTGTTTAAAGATGAGGTTTCCTCTAAAGATGTTTTCTGAGCATGTACCATCTGAGCCTATTTAGCAGTTCCTATTCTGAGTTTGGCTTGGGTTAGTACCTGTGGCATGGGGCCAAAAAGTTTTTCTAAAGTCCCTTTGTGCTCTGTTGAGGACGCCTCTTCCTTGAGTACATTGTTGTCTGTGTGATGCTCAGGGTGCTGTGATAATGAAGGGTGTTTCAGTTGTCTATGACTATCTGACAAACCACCTCAAATGCCCTGGCTTGAAAGACAAATCGCCACAAATCTGCAATTGGGGCTGGTCTCAGCTAAGTGGTTCTTCTACTGCAATCAGCTGGGGGGGGGCTGGCATGGGAAAAAAGGTTTTGCTGAGAGGGCTGGGGTCTGGCTGGATTCCTCTCTTTCCATATGACCTCACATCTACCAGGCATACCTCTTAGAATAGGGCCGCTGGATTCTAAGGAGCAGAATTCTGCAGGTATAAGCTGCAGTGGGCACAGGGTTTCCTAGCCTTGCTTGCATCACACCTGCCAGTATCCCATGGACAAGAATGCAATGTATAAGAGGGGACTACACAAAGGCGTAAAGCCCAGGAAGCATGGTCCATCAGGGGCCACCTCTGTCACAGTCTACCACCCCTGGTTACCTTCAGCACCCCACCCAAGACAAAGATAGAAAAACGAATCTGTCACTAGTCACCATGTGTGAGCACATGACCAAGTGCATACATGTAGTGATCTTGGAAACATGGAGGACTCGTCTATCTTTCCCCCAGAGAGTCCCCTTTATTTAGGAGTATTATGTTGTTCTGAACAGTTGTCTGGGGTGGAGGCAGGTTTGTGGGAGAATGGGGAGATGGGAGGAGGACTTCCAGCCAGATAGATGAATCAATCAGTATTGACATCAGAAGGAGGTCAGATACACCAGCCAGATTCATTTTAAAGCAGTTAATTTGGCTGGACACCTGGCCAAAACATCATCAGGTCCTGACAGTGACCTGGAAATGGCCTCAGAGATATAGAAGATTCTTTTTATTTCTCCTAAAAAATATGTAATCTTTGCTTTATAGTTTTTTTTTCTTTCTCTTTTTTGTTTTACTCTCTTATTTATTTCAAATTTTATATTTATAGTAGGCTTACTATATATGCCAAGCCACAGATTTGGTGCTCAGAATGCAGTGGTAAATAAAATTCATCTGGTGTTCTCTTCTCATGGAGTTTAGGTGTTGAGCTATTTTTTTTTTCTTCTAATGGTCTTCAGGGAAAACTTTGAATGATTTAAATAATGTGAAAGGAAGCCCATCTTTTATGATTCTTGACCTTAAAGTCTGTAAATTTCCAGTTTTCCCACTGCTGCAAACAGGACACAGTGAGGAAGGACATGGTGTCATCTTCATTTTTACAGATGAGTGAAGGACAGCAAGGCTGTGTGTATGTGCTCACATTTCCAGGACTTAGTGAGATCAGTGGAGCTGGAATTCGTTCCCAGGCCTCGAGATACTGAGCCCAGCCTGATTCTCACAAGACTATTTTGCTTCATTGGAATATTTAAATTACACTAACCTAATGAGGTAGCTAGAGATTTCCTCAGGACCTTGGGTCTCGATTCATCTCACACTCTTTGTGAATAGCATTGTGCTCATGTTGGCCTCAGTTTATCTATGGCTCCTTTAAATACTTCTACTTTGACTAGAAAGTTAATTACAAAGTGGGACATTCCTAAATGAAAGAGGATTCTTACAATGATATTCACAGGTCTGTAGATCACCTGAGCAGAGATGCAAAATATGGCAAAATGGTTGACCTTGGATACATTATTATTTCATCAAGGCTCTGTTTTTCATCAGCAAAATGGGAATGATAGTAACTACTGCACAGGTTGTTGAGATGAGTAAAAGAAACTATGTGAAGTACAGAGTCTGGTCCATAGTAAGCTCTAGAAGTGTCAGTTATGATCTTGATGATGATGATAGAGATGCTTTGGCCCTAGTGTAGTTCACCAGAGATGCAAGGCATGTGTGAGTACCGTGTCATCTCTAAGGGTCCCTAATACAGATTTCATTGTGAAAATGCCGTTTATAAGCCACGCTTCTGTCTGACAGATTGAAGTAGAGATATAGGTATAGGTTAGCATTAGAATGTTTTTTTTTCTTTTGTAGATTTTTTTTTCTTTGATACAAAAGAGTGTTCAGTCTACTAAAACAAAGAAAACTCATCACCAGTATTTTTATTTTCAAATGTTCCAGCAGGGCCCCACAAGCAATGACCTTTCTATTTAACTCCATTCAGGGTTTGATGCCTATTTTACGTCCCGCACACTTGAAAACAACAGAAGGAACGTATGGTTTGCTGAATATTGGGAAGAAAACTTCAACTGCAAGTTGACGATTAGTGGGTCAAAGAAAGAAGACACAGATCGCAAATGCACAGGTAATTTCATTCTCATTGTCCTTCTCCTTTGGTCTCCGTGGCCAGTGTTGAAATGTCTGCATAAGTGACAGAAGGAAGCTTGGCTGGAGGCAAATTGAAAAAGTAAATTGAATTTTACTAGATTGTTCAGAAAATGGAGCAGGATCATGAGTCCTGCAGGACAAGAGAAGTACAGACAAGATTGTATTCTTTTCTGCCTGTCCATCTAGCAGTAATTGACATTTTCATTGATTCTTTGAATTCAAAAGGGGTCATGTTGCTTTGCATGCTCTCGCTGATAAACATTAGTTCATGTTGTAGCCAGGAATATGAAGTCATTTTCACATGGACAGAAATCTCTGACAGTCCCATATCGGCACTGGATTTAACTATTGCCATGGATGGTAATATTTAATTAAGGAAACAAAGTACTTGGGATTAGAGTAATGAGAGTTTTAACTGATTTTTATAACATCCAAGTTAATGAGTTGCCTGCTACTTGAAATATGCTTTAAAATAGTCACTAAGCCTTATATGTAACCTTGTGTAATTATTCCAAATTAAAAACAAACATGTATGTCGTATGTATATACAGTAGTAGTCAGAAGGCAAAGTTACACATTCATTCATTCATTCACAAATGTTTATTGAGCAACTCCTTTCTGCACAAGTGATCTGATGGTGAGCAAACCAGGTAGGGACACGGCTTTCATGCTGTTTAGAGTATAGTAGGGGGAAATCCAAATTTTTCCAGCGATCTCTCTATGAATACATAATTACAATCTGTAATAAGTGTCTGAGAGCAGTAGGGGCATATAACCAAGGCATTTCACTCATTGAAGGCAGACGCTGTCTCAAAAGACCTACTTGAGGGATGAGTAAGCATTGGTTGGTTAGAGAAGGGAAAGGGCAGATTAGAGAATTTCTGATAGTGGAATAATGTAGCAAAGGGCTTATAGCAGAAGGAATTGTGGTGTCCCTCAGGATGTGAAAAACAGGAAATATAACTGAAGAATAGGATGAAGATGTGAACCCAGGTTTCAAGTATAGAGACACGGACAAGGAATAAGCCATGTTGGGACATGTGTGGAATTTGGTCTTTGTCCTAAGAGTATTGGAAATTGTGGGAAGGCATTATGTAAGGGTGTGACATGATCTACTATCTTATCACCTAGACCTTTATAAAATATAATTTCCCAATTTTATACTTCAGTTGACTTCAACATTTGTAATGGTAACCTTGAAGTACCACAGAACCCTAAAATCTCTTCAGTATGTTCAGGAAAGGCATACTCCTGTTGGGCACACTTCCTGTGCTTAGTTTCTTTCCAGTATTTTTCTTTGATCTGTTAATTACCAATAGTACATGCAAAGCATGATACTAAAAACACTGTCAATGGTGTTAAGTTTAGGGCTTTTCCTCAAGAAGTCACCTGTAAAAAAGGAGAAATAAGATACAAACAGAGACAGAGACATAAGTCAAACAATGATGCAAAATAAATATGCATAATTAAATGTATAATTCAGTTCATTATAATATCAGATTAACCACATTCTCTAGGCCATGGTATATAACAAGAGTGTTTTCATTAATATAATCTTTATCACGTTGGGGGAAAAGGGAAAAAAATAATTCAATGTTGACTAGACCTAGGTGACACAAAGCTTTCAAGTAGAAACTGAAAAAATTAGTTTGGTGTCTGGATAATTTGTCTATATGACAAGGAACATCCAAATATGTTAGAAGTATAGAGATGATTGATGACAGTTTTTTGGTTCTTTCTGACACGGGATACTCTGTAGAGTGTCTGGAAGACAGAATGGATTGTGTGATGTCCGTTAGGATTGTTCCGCCTGAGGCCAATCCCGAGTCTTCTTATGTGCTTTAACACAAGCTGTTTTATTTGTAGTCACATTTTAGTGCCGATCATTGAGAATTTGGGTTTATAAAAACTAGTAAGCTCATGATCCAAATCACTAGCTTTTATTAATAGAAATAGAAGTGTGTGTGTTTTCATATTCCTTCCATGTGAAAAAAAAAATCTATGATCAGATTTACTGAATTACCTGTGGTCCCAAATTATTTGAATATTCTATGCTTTCCTTGTCATTGGTTCATGAACTGCCCTTCATGCTCAGAGGGCAGAGAGGGACCAAAGAAAGAGGTAGACCACTCCAGGTTGGTAGATGGCAGGTTTGATAAGCAAGGGAACTTACTTATGAGGCTTGTCTTGGGCTTCCACAAGATGAACAGATCACCACACTCACCAACCACAATCTTAAAAGCTTATATAGAGGCTTTGGGGGGGTTCAGTCTTGTATACATTCCAGATGGTCTCAGCACCCTACTCTGTCAGGCTACGTCCTTGGTACAGCTCCCACTGTGGAAATGGTAAGCAGAGTGTACATTCCAAAGACAGGGGAGGACGTGAGGAACCTCCGGTTGCCTGGCCCCAGCCTGTGGCTCAAGCAGCAGTCCTGTCCTCTCCTTGCCTCCCTCCAACACCTTTTCTCCCTTACTACTTCCACTGTGGTAAGGTGTGCCATCCTAAGTAAAGGCAAATACCATTACCACGGTCGTGTCTCTTGCTGTTACCATCATTGGATATGAGAACATGGGTGGTTTGGTGTTTGTGGTTCTTTCTTGTACTTCCTTTTTCCAAATCCCACTAAACTTGTCTTTTGCTTTGGAAATATTCCCCAAATGCTATTAAAAAAAATCTTAACATTTAAGTATACCTCAACTTAGAAGTGGAGAAGTGGGAGGAAAGGCATGCTAAGATTTGCTAGACTAGAGGACAAGAAGTGATGGAGAGAAGGGACAGACTGCATTGTATTAAGGAGAGCTCTTGACACTATGGTGAGAAATTAAGTTCTAATGAGGGAAAAGAATGGAGGCAAGAGGGAAGCATTGATGGCCTTAAGGATATGAATGCTATTATATAAGGAAAAGCTGCATTGACAACCACATTTGGAGACATTGAAAGAGTGGGCACATTGGGAAGAAGCCACCAGATGAGGAAGCAAGCTGAGTTGTTTGACTTTGCAGATCAGCTGCATGAAGACAGTGTCTGCTTTGGTCTGAGGACTAAGGAAAGCAGTCCCTTTCACAGATCTCTTCCTGTGATTGGGCTGTGCTAAAGAATAAGTCTTAACTATTGTCTGTGTCTATGAATTTTTGTTTCTTTGTCTTGTTCCTTTTTTGCTTTCAGTTTTATATCCCACATATCAGTGAAATCATATGATTCTCGACTTTTTCTGTGTGATATATTTTACTTAGCATAATAATCTCAAAACTCATAGACACAGACAATAGTTGAGTGGTTACCAGAGAGTAAGTGGGGAAGGGGGTGGTTGATGAGGGTAAAGGAGGTCAAATATACGGTGATGGAGGGAGAACTGACTCTGGGTGGTTAACACACCACGTGATATATAGATGATGAATTACAGAAACCTATGTAATTTTACTAACCAACCTCACCCCAATAAATTTAATTAAAAAATAAAAAAGAAGTCTTAAAATATTGACTCCCCAGATTCGGGCACAAATTAAAATGTAAACTTTTTTTTTTCTGGGCTGCATTGCCTCTTTAACCATAATGAGCTATTTATTATATATTAGCTCTAAGTATGCTATCATCGAATCAGTCATCTGTCAAGATGATTTTGAAAATGCGGCATGGGACCCATACTCCTTGGAGAGAGAAAGCTTCTGGGATCAAGGAATAACAATGAGTTCTAAAAACCTGAAAGAGTAGAAAGTCATGAAAGGAAGAATAATTGTTAAAAAAAGATTACTAAAATTTATAATTTGTATACTTTATAATTTAATGGGAGCTATTATAGTTGGGCATGGATTCTTATAGAAAATGACCTGAACAACCATGTAATCTTTACATCTATAAATTATCCATATACATTCAAAGTTCCTTTCAATCAGGAAAGCTACCACATTTTTCAGTATTTTAAGAACATCCCAACTTTTCTTGATACCCCGTCCCAAGGTCTCCCAACACTGACAGCTAGACATTCTTCCTCCTACCTTCCCTAATTTTCATTGATATAGATTAAACCTTGTCAGTGACTCATTCTGTTTGTGGGTTAACTCAGCCTTCATCCCCCAAAGGGCCATGCAGTTGAGTAAGTTTATTGATGGTTTAATCATTCACAGGAATCACAAACTGTATTTGACAGGTACTATTGCCATTCATGCTACTTCATAGTAGAGCTCCAATTTCTCATGGAGGGAGTGCTAGCTACACACAGAATAAAGAAAGCTCTTCTAGACTGTTCACCACACAGTACTTGCCACTGTGGGCAGAAAGGTCAGATGTGGATTTTTTTCAAAGAGTGTTTATGTTCCCCCGCCTCCACATCACTTGCTATGTGTTTTCCCCCCTTAAGACTTGCCAGTATATCCATGACACAAAGGCTAGTTTTGAACATGATCTTTTTGGGAATAAGAATGTGTTTTCTGTGGAGATACCAAGGTCACAGAAAGAAGAAAAAATACAGAGATAAAGTAGTCTCTGCAAAAGAAATCGAGGACTCAAAGTGGTTAAGAAACCACAGGTTTGGGCATGAAAGAGGCCTGGGCTTGTGTTCTAGGGTTACACCTGACAGCCCTGTGAGAGCATGGACTATATTATCTAGCCTCTCAAAGCCTTTCCTCATCTTTGAAATGAGAGTAATAAAACTTTAATTACACCCAAAGTTGTGGGGATTAATTTAGGGAATTCAAGTAAACTGGCACATAGTTGTTAGCATTGATGAGCTATTATTGTCTTCCGTTCTGGGCTGAATAAGTTGCCTGTGAGGGTTTCATGAAGATCCTATTGTCTTACATCAGTTCTAAGGAAGTCAACATACATGTCAAATTCTAACAGAAAAATAAAGCCAAGGATTTGAATAAGCACATAAGCGTGGACAGGCATTCTTCACTGGAGTGCACATTACACAGCAATCTATTGAGGTCTCAAAAACACAGGCCGTGTACAACTGGATGCTATGAATGGATGAGG